GCTGAATTACATGCACGGTTGCATAGCGTTAATTAGTGTAACCGATTAATACAAAAATTTGTAATTGAGCTTCAAATTATATTTATCCAAAATTTTTACATAAAAAAAATGTAATCATATATTCATTCAAAATTTTGGGCTTTTAAAAAATATTTATTTACAAAAAAACTATGAATATTTAACGAATATTCATATTCATTCAAACAAAATATAAACTGAAAAAAAAAACTCCTATAAACAATCGATACTCTTAACTACAACCGCGGCACTTTGATGATTTTAAGTAAAAAAAAAAAGAATTTTATTTATTTTTGTCATTGTAACATTCAAATTTTATGAAGGAAACTTAGAAATTTTGAAAAATATTTTAGGAAGTAATACATTTTTACTTTATAAATATCTATTTGATAGAATGCCATACATATTCCGATATAATTCCGGTTACGTTACAGTAATGTCATAAACATGTTATAAAATATTTTATAAACATTTTATAAGATATCTTGGGCAGGTCCTTCATTATGGTCTGTGGCCATTAAATTCCGAGATATTATTTATTTCCAATAAATATGTCTCTTTGTTTAACTTATAGGTTAAACAAGGACGCATTTCGTATAAGATCGTATAGATCGCGAACTAAGCACACGGTGTAATCGTAGCCATTGATTTTATAGATTTGTTTTTTCTTGCAGGCTTGCAAGCTTTGTGCGGATAATACAGAGTAAAAGTGAATACAATTTATTGTTTACATGTGCGTTTAATGGGCATCTAATCAAAACAAGCAGCGATGGTTACAAAAGTAACAATCACAGTGTTGATTGTAACGTGGGTAATTATTCAGAAGACATTGTTCACCTTCAATTTCAATGAAACTATGCTCACATTCGATGCATTTTTGCATGAAACGAAAGAAAAGAAAATTTTATAGAAAATAATTTACGTTTTTAAAACAGAGAATTTGTGTAACCCTCTATGCCATCGATATGACAGATTTTCGAACTTAACAATAATTAACTTTAAAATAAGATTAGAAAAAGAAAACTTAAATAATTAATATTTCGGCGACGAATGAGCATAATTTCATTGAAATTGAAGGTGAGGAGTGTCTTCTGCACATTCAACCTCTGCAAATAACGACCGATTTTTCATTTCCTTTAATTGTTCAAATGACTGAATATTTAATTGATCATTAACAACAATTAATACATTTACTTACCATGTTTAAGATTTCAGTTATTATTTTTCTGTATTTTTTCCATATTGCTTAATGCTTATTAGCATAGTATTGATTTTCATATTAATAGATTTACAGTTATTACGTTTTATAATCGACACTTTGGGGTGGTACAATTGACACCATCGCGGTGTCAAATGTACCACCCCAAACAAATTGCGGCGATGCTATTAATGGTAAATATTTTTTATAATTTGTTATTTTTTCAAATATCTATTATGTTAAAATTAGCGCCAAAGAAGAGGCCTTTGTTCTCATGTAAAATTTAGATTTCTTCTCATTTATAATAAGTTAGCAGCAAAAACCTTTTTTCTGTTACAACCGACACCACTCTCCCTATACCCCGGCCGGGAATCAAATCCGGATCTTTTGTATTTCTCGTACGAAAAAATGTTTTAAAAAATGGGGTGCTAACTTCTTATCGAAATTCGAGATCGAATAGTTCTGACCGACTCAATAGCTTCATTTAGTGAATACCTAGAGTTCCTGATGCAATCAGAACTACTGGAACTCTCAAAAAATTTTTCCACATCGGACTTAGAAAATTCTCGACTACCTATCAAATATGTCATAAGTCCGACGTTGAAAAAGTTTTTGAGAGTTTCAGTAGTTTTGATTATCGTTTTGGGCAGTTCTCAACGAGTTCTATCGAAAAGTATGAGGTGACAAAGTGATTGGACCATATTCAAGGTACGCGAAATTAAAGAAGTGATCAAAAATTGTTTTATTTTTTAATTTTCTTGTATGTCAAAATTGTTTTTTACGTGTCAGGAACTCTAGATATTCACAAAATAGATCTATTAAGCTGCTCAGAACTGTTCGATCTCGAATTTCGCTGAGAAGTTAGCACCCCATTTTTTAAAAATTATTTAAAAATTGTTATTAACTGAATCTCGCATTAAAAAATACAGAGAACTCTTCGTCTCGTTAAAAGGAAGCAAGAACTCTAATCAGAACTATTATATCTAAAAATTGATTTTTCAAAAATTTTTAATATTTTTTAGATTTTTCAAAATTTTTTTTATGCATCAGGAACTCTAGGTATTCACTAAATGAAGCTATTGAGTCGGTCAGAACTATTCGATCTCGAATTTCGATAAGAAGTTAGCACCCCATTTTTTAAAAATTATTAAAAAATAGTTATTAAGCGGAACTCTTGTTATAAATTATAGAGAACTCTTCGTCTCGACAAAAGGAAACGGGAACTCTAATCAGAACTATGGAATTTCAATATTGGGGTGCTAACTTAACATACGCCCTTGACATACAGTATCAAAATCATGACCTTGAGTGACCTCCAACAGGTTTCAGGTGGCTGTTGTTCTTTGTTAAAGATTTGAAAAATGATGTCTCTTTTCTACTATACGAAAGGGGGGAAAGTGGGGTGGGCCACCTAAAATCTGCTGAAGGTCACTCAGAATTATGACAACATATGTGTATGTCAAGGTGGAGTAAAAGTCACTTCGCGTGAAAAATCGCGAAAGTAAAATATATTTTAAAGCAGAAAATGTATGTTTCATATACGTAACAAAAAAGAGACACCATTTTTCAAACTTTTATTGTTAATAACTTTTTAATGAAGAACGGCCGCCACCTAAAACCTGTTGGATGTCATTCAGAGTCATAACCTTAACCTTAACAACGTATGTCAAGATCAAGATCATTGACGCGGTGTCCACAAAAGTAATTATCCACATTTTTCCCGCGGGAATTGATTAAATAGATTAAAAATAAAACCAGAAAGTTTAAAAATGATACATTAGAATTCTATTTTTTATTACATACAAAATACATACCCCACACAGCAAATATATCAAAAATACATCTTAAAAATATCTTAAAGATATATTTGGGGTATGTAATATCTTTAGGATATCTGTTTGATGTATTTCGGAAATTTTTGCTGTGTGGGACATGTTTTATTAAAAAGCACATATATGATGGATTACATATTTTATAAACATATCTGTGTATTTTATATTACTATTATTAATGAAATAATATAGGCACATATTATAAGCATATTTACTCATTAAAACGTTAATAAAATAATTAAACTGCCAGAGTGCGCTGAGATTAACGTTCATCAGAATTCTAGTATTGTTACGTATAAATGTATTTGTCGTCTGTTAAATCCAGCTGAAAAATAATAAACAAATCTTTATAAGATAATATGCTATAATTCTTATAAGATAATATAGTCTAGCAAACAATATAGCTGTAAAATCTCGAATCTTGTCATAACAACCATCAATGTTTGGTTCAACCAAAGTGCATTTAATTATGTACGTTGATATCAAAATAATTTTCCTCATGCATTAGAGAGGTCTATTATGTACCGATATTAAAATCATCAGGACGGACAAAGCTGTGCTGTAGAACTGAAAATAATATGCTTTCATTATACAATGAAAATATTTGTGTTAAAATGAGAACAATTATTAAAAAAGAATTTTGAATTTATAAATTAACAATGAAAAATATTAAAATGCAGTTAACTCTTTGAGGGACACGTTTTTCTTCTAAACAAATTATTGAAATCATAGGTCATCTATGGTTTTTCGGGGTCGCTGATTACAATTCTGATGTCAGAATTACAAAATTTAAAATGGCGGATCTAGTAAGGCGACTATTTTAGGCTAAATTCACGATTTTTTTGTTCAATTTGCACGAAACTGGATATATGAAAGTTTTTGGGGTCACTGATTACGATTCCGATGCCAGAATTACAAAATTCGAACTGGTGGATCTAATATAGCGATTATTTCGGTCTAAATTCGAAGTTTTTCATTCCAATTCCATAAAAATATCAATTTTCCAAAATTTCAAAAATTTTTTTCGGAAAAACTAGCAAGCAGAAAATTCTGAAAAATATATATATTATAGTTTTAGATATGGAGTGCATGCATATAAATTTTCAAAGATTTAGCACTTCACATTTAAAAATAGCCAAATTTATTCTGAAAAAACGAGTTTTTTTTTTCATTAATTGTTTTTAACAAAATTGCAAATAAATAAATTAACATAATTTTTCATGAAAGTTGCATAACTTAGATTCTTAAGAATCTAAAAAGTAGTCATATGCGCATACAAACTGCAAAATAGATTAGAAATATGGAAAAAATAAAAAAAGTAAGAGCAAAAAGATGGGATGTATACGTCCTACTGCCTCTCAAAGGGTTAATTGAGAAATGATTTCAATATTATGTTGCCATTTATATAATTTACAAAATTGTATGTAGAAGTATTTATTGTCTATTATATGTGTACATTCTATTACATATATTCTTATACTTTTAATTAATCTTGGACGTACCTGGCGAACGAAATTATATCCAAAGTGGAAAAGTCCGATGCCAAATTTTACCTCCCTTACTTTTATTTGCAACATAAATTGTAAAATCTAATTGAAATAAATAATTGAATAAACGTCAGTTATACGGTACCTTTCATAAAAGTTCAGACATTAGCATAAATTCTGTCAAATAGCCATAAAATTAAGGCATTATTATAAAACATCAATTACGTTACATTGTTAGATATGGAAGGAGCAATTCAATCCCTTAAATTTATCTATCATGTTTCCATCATACTAGATTATCGAATTCAACAACAATCGATCTTTCAATCGTTTGCGAGCAAATTCGTATAGTGAAGCACTCATCGAGCATCGTACAACGCACATATATAATTTTGCTACAGTTATTTGATGTATAATATACTGACTTATGACAACTGAAGAATGCTCAAACTAGCAGCCGAAACATATAATGTTATGATCATTGTTTCAATTTTAATTTAATTTAATTATAGTCGATTTCTATTTCAAGATATTTTTTAACTTTTTATTTGTGTGAACTTTATAACCGACTCTTACATGCCTTTCTCATTATTTGTATTGTTAATTTTAACATCAAGAGTCCTTGTATTGTTTAATTTACTTTTAAGTTAAATAATATTTCGTTAACAATTTAGGTCAAAACATTAACGTGGTTAATGTACAAAACAATATACAATAAAAGGCATTAAACCACAACGCTAGTTGTGTAAACCACATAGATTGGTATAAATATATCGACTTAGTTATAGAACTACGCATTTCAGTTTTAACTCTGAAGGTTGATACAACTAAAATTGTAAATCCTGTATGAGCTGCGAAATATTGTTAACACAGGTAAATAATTTTGAATTAAGTGTTATACAAATAAATTATGTTTGTATGGATGGTAATACACCCAGAGTTTATGGGTTACCGAAAATCCATAAGCCCGGAAATCCGTTGAGAGTCATAGTTTCTTCAATTAATAGTTCTATATATTTTTTATCTTTATTTCTTCATAATATTATTTACAATAGCATTCCTGAGGCTTCTAGGTGAAAAATGGCTTTTATTTTGTCGACAAGCTAAATGGAAGGGTTTTTGAGCCTATGTATGCTTCTTTGGACGTTGTTTCTCTTTACACTAATGTTCCCATAGAATTTGCATCTGAGAGCATTAGGAAGAGATGGGTTCACATTTCTTGTAAAATTAATATACAGTTAGACGAATTTCTAATAGTCGTTCGCTTAATTTTGGATTCCTCGTTTTTTTCTTTTAACGGCAAATTTTATAAACAGATTTTTGGTACTCCTATGAGTTCACCTCTATCCCCCATTATAGCCGAGATTGTTATGCAAGATTTAGAAACTGTGGTTTTGCAAGATTATCTATTCAACTTATATTTTATTTTCGGTATGTGGACGTTCATATCATTTTAGCAGCTCCAGATGATTCGTTAAATAAAATCCAAGATGTTTTCAATTCTTTGCATACTAGACTTCAATTTACCATGGAAATTGGTGATAAGGGTAGACTGAATTTTTTAGATACAACAGAATTATTGTCATTATTGACGATAACAGAATTATTTTTGACAAATATTACAAGCCAACTTTCTCGGGGACATTCCTTAATTTTTATTCTCATCATCCGTCTTGTCATAAAAGGGGTGTCATTATTGGTGCAGTTGATAGAATTATTCTCTCTCTCTACTTTCTCATCCACGATTTCACCAGAAGAATTTGACTGAAACCATTAATATTTTTTTTAGACAATGGGTATCCTTTGAATTTTATTTTTTCGACAATACAAAAGAGATTAAATTATAATATTTACAATAATAACAATAATATAGACATTAATTTGAATAAAAAAATCAAGGGCACATAAAAATACTTTACGGTTCCTTATACTAAAGGCGTCTCTGAAAGTTTTTTGCCCATAGCATTTAAACTTGATTGCAAACTGTCTTATACAATCCCAAATTCGTTGAAAAATTACATTAAAAGAGGAAAAGACCAACTAGACTCTCTCTCCCACCAGGGTGTGGTTTATAAAATTTCCTGTGAAGATTGCGAAGCTAGTTATGTCAGCCAGACTAAGAGGAGACTTAAAACTAGATTGCAGGAACACATGTCGGACATAAGAAGGAAATCAGGATTATCACGGACATAGAACTATATGTAACCATAATTTTGATTGGAATAACGTTAAAATACTAGATAGTAAACCATCTTATAATAAACGTTTAATCTCTGAAATGGTTCACATTAAGAGACATAAACAGGACATAAACAGGCATAATGATACGGTAGCTTTACCAGAGTCCTATCTTCCAATCATAAAATCTCTTTCCCCTTCCTAATTTTCCCCTTCCTAATTTTCCTCTTCCTCTTCTACCCTTTCCACAAAGTTTTCCTTTCCACAAGGAAAGAGAAGGGAAAGAGATTTTATGATTGGAAGATAGGACTCCGGTAAAGCTACCGTATCATTATGCCTGTTTATGTCTCTTAATGTGAACCATTTCAGAGATTAAACTAAAGCGCAGTTAAATAAAAAAATAATCAGAAAAAAATTTTTTCTGATTATTTTTTTATTTAACTGCGCTTTAGTTTCTTAAGGTGACCTTGAGGAAGTTTTAACTGCAGAACTCGTTAAGAAGTTATATAAACAAAAGAAATTTAAGAAATAATTTCTTCTTTTTACTATATATAAAACGAGGTTTCCTACTTTAAAGTATATTCCCTCCTCCCCTGCAAAGGGACGTACGACTCTCACCCTCCCTACCTTCCAGCAAAGGTGCGCACGACTCTCACTTTCGATTCCT